TTTTATCTATTTTTGTCAAAATCAACTAAAATTATTGTCAAAAGCTCGTTAAACAACCCCTTAGTTAAGAACATCTGCAATGCTAACTTATCTATAATATATTAAATTATCACATCAAGGGAGAATCATTTTTTGAATGATTTTGACCCTCCTACAATTCAATTATTTCAATAATACTTTACTGTTCATTTTTCGAGATGAAATAAATACTACATAATTATTATCATTTATAAAATTTGTGTTATTAATTCTCAATTAATTATATTCATAATAACTTATATTCAATGAATTCTCACTTGATGAATATTGAATTACATGAATATAAAGTTATTATAGATGAATTTATTCATATTTGTGTATCTATAAATTTTAATGGGTGTTTAAATTTATGTATTAACAATTAATTTTTATGTATCAAATGTAATATAAAATGATTGCTCATTTTTAGTATTTCACCATTACAAAAAATTTGAACGATAGAAATTGAGTTTTGAGAGTATAGTTTTATTCTCTTAAATTTCTATGCTAATTTTTTTTTAATTCGTCCGAAACTCATCAAATCCGTTAACAAATTGGTACCAAATATTACTTTTACATCATTTATAAAGTATTTTAAAATAACGTGCAATATACATTCAACTTTGACTAGTTGCACAAAAATTACGGATGCCTACAAAAATTATCCTTCAATGCAAGTTAGGTGGAACACTAAGCCCTTATTTGAGCCTTATTTTTATCAAGTATTCATTTTTTCAAATATCATTTTCAACCACACACTCTAATAAAATAATTATACACGTATTTCAAAAAAAATTCCTTACTTTTCAACCACATATTCTTTAAAAAATCACTATTTCATAATTACATTTTACCCATATGGGGATCAAAAAGGGCTAAGATAAAAAAGAAGACATTGTTAAAAGAACCTTATAGGTATGGATGGTCTGTTATGGAATGGTGAGGAAAAAAATTTAAACTCTCTCTCCCATTTCTTATTTTTTCCTCTTGTTTATACCTTTTCTCTTTTCTATTAAATATATATGATTGACAAAAATAAAGTTTTAGGGAAAATTATTGGAGATGAAGTTTGAATATAATCATATATTCATTAGACATCAATGTCGTGTGGATCGAAATCCCTTCTATCTACATGTCACGTAAAAGGCAATTAGCGGTTTGAACTGGAGATGCTTCAAGTCGTGTTAGTTTTATACATCATATTAATAGGATCAGCCCAATAATCTATCAACTAGATTGATCCGAGTGACTATATATATATATATATATATATATATATAGAGAGAGAGAGAGAGAGAGAGAGAGAGAGAGATTATCGCCTTCTAACAGAGGCAACTCATGTTATGTTTGCAAAAATTAAAAGATTCATGAATTTGGGCGAATTCTCTAACACAACCATACTTCATCATTGAATCTATAATCTCTCTCATATTTACAAGATGGTCGGCACAATTATTTCCTTGATATAATATGTGCATTTTCTCGACATCGAATCTATACAGTTGAAAACAATAATTCTTAACCCAAGTTGTATTTGAATTTTCACTTATGTCCATCTCTTTCAGTAGAAAAATGAATACTGCAAAATTTGTTCTCTAGACAACATTCACAAGTCTTCTATCTTGGACACACAAGAAGTCTCAAAATATAACCCAAAGCACAATTGTTAAGCTCAGCACGTATCCAATATTGCCCATAAATTTTGCTATCCATTTTTCATAGACCCTAGTCATCTCTAACAATTTTATCAATTCATGCAGGTCCAGGATTTCCTTTAAGCACTTGATTTTACCTGCACAAGATAATATTAAAACGGCTCATTGATTACACCTAGCAATCATCTTCTGACATGTTAATATCTAATATTCAGAAGGTAATCTTATCTCATCGCCTATTCATCATTCATCGATTAGAGAAACACAATGTAATAATAAGTTATAATAAAGTATGCATAAATCTTGACAACTTCGAATTTCTAATTGTTTTCTTAAGTTTTTATTCGAATCTAATGTCGTTAGTTGAACACGAAAGGCAAATGAGTAATGAGCTGTGTTGATCTCATATTCTCATTTTGTCTTCCTTCGGTCCAATTTTAGTCACGTGCCACAATTTTCACCCCTTTTTTCTTTTCTTTTTCCTCTGAATATGATCGGCTACTTCCAAAGGAATTTGAATCGTACCATGCTTTCTTCTATCCGTTATGTTATTGGTTATTGTTTGATACAACGGATTTTATCATTTGAATAGAATCATACTCAACAATTTGTCACAAATATTTTGCACATCGAACTAAACAAGATTCAACCAATTGAAATAATGTGAAATCATTTACAAGTTTCTTGTATCAAGTTACATAGTACTGCAAGCATGGCTCAAAGAGTGAGCTGAAACACACAAATGGGAGAAAAAACGTAAGAATATAACTAAACAAGATTCAACCAAAAGAAATATGTGAAATCATTTACAATTTCTCGTATCAAGTAACATTGTACTGCAACCATGCCTCGAAGAGTGAGTTGAAACACACGAATAAGAGAAAAAATCTAAGTACATACACCTTGCTGATCTGCATTTCTTGGGTTATTGTCTCTCACTAAATTCCATTATGAGTCGACATCCTGAGGTGAAGTTTGGGAAAATTACATCACTGAGGAAAATAGAGAATGAACCAAAAACCATTTTTATCAAGAAGATGAAATAGACAAGATGAAGATCAAAACGAATATGAAGGCTCGAATGCGTAATCGCTGTCCTCAAACTATATTTGCCTTCTCTCGGGATTGAATGAGATGCTTAAGGATCTTGGCAAACGATTTGTAGGATTATAACAAGTTTTGTAAAAGATCTAGCACCAACGTATAAGTGTAATCCTCCAAAACTTTAAGAACACAAGAAAGAAATGAGTAGGAATATGAATCAAGTGTTTAATCTTGGTGTGGAATGATATATGAATCACAATATGTTTTTCTCATGTGTTTGGCTTGAACATTGCTCCACTATTTATAGACATTGTCTATACTCACGAAATGGTGCCAAAATGTACATGAAAGGCCACCAAAATTGAATTTGCAACGTTCAGAAAACCACCACCAACGGTCACAAGTTTAGTACTATGTGACCACATAGTATTAACCTATGCGGTCGCATAGAGTAAACAAAAAACACCCTTTGAATCTCGGTAGATGGCCATGCGACCGCATGGCCAAAATGCTATGCTGTCGCATGGCACAAACAATGGGCCTCCATTTTTTATCTTTACATTTCCACTGTTTGGTTTCCACACCGATTTTCTTTGGCTTCTTTCATGTGTTTCATTCCATCTACATTCCTTAATTGAATTTCGAACAATAATATAATAGGCGGAAAGGGAGGATTTGGTATATCTTACAGTGCCACTGCCTGATGCTATAAATCCTAAGGTCAATCTTGATCCAGAGGGAGTTTTTACATTCTCTGCTACAGCTGGAACGGACAACAGTTTGTATGAACTGAACCTAAAGCTTCATGATAAAGTTAATGTAGAGGAGAGCAAAATAAACATAGGTGTGAGACATATATTTTGCGTCTTGGAGAAAGCAGAGAAGAAATGGTGGACGAAATTATTGCGGGGAGATGAGAAGGTACCTCACTATTAAAAGTGGATTGGGATAAATGGGTGGATGCAGATGATGAAGCTGGTCCTGCTGATTTTGATATGGGTGGAATGGATTTCTCGAAATTCGGTGACATGGGTGGCCTAAGAGATGATGCTATGGGGGATGACCTCGAGGATAGTGATGATGAAGAGCTGGAAGCTGAAAAGTCCGAAGAGAAGACTGCTGACGAAACAGAAGGTGAAGCTTCTAGCCTCAAAACAGAATCGACCCAGAGTGCTTAATTGTGTATTTCAACCGTGGTGCTTTAGATAGAAGTGGTATTTTTGCTGATTAACAGAGCATGTATTTGATTGTGAAAGGAATGGGTCATTTTACTTGGCTTATGTACTGGAAGCTTTCTGATGATATCGAGTTAGGTTTCTTAGAAAGTAAGAAAGATGTTTAGGAATAGCGGGTGTAAGTTTGAAGTCTTGTGTGTGATTTGAAAAAGAATGAAAGAGCAATGGATTAACTTGATTGCGTTGGGGTTGAGGTGATGTCCCTATCAAAAACGGCAAAAATAATTAACGGGCTTTTGAATTCACAAGGAACATTATTAACCCCGATTGATTTTTCTAAAAATTAGATTTTCAGTAGATTTGATAAAAATTGATGAAGTGCATGGTTGAAAAAATTATGATTAAAATTAATTGTTGACTTTCATTATGATTTTTACGAACTTTTTTAGCTAAACCCTGAGCTAAGAGTTTTATATGATAATATGAAATTTGTTACGCTATAAATACATTCTTGAATGTGATTTGTACAGAATGTACTTACTAATAAGTTTCCAATATAGCAGCTTGTAAGATTTTACAAAAGAATTGGATTTAGGGTTGTGCATGAGGTGACTAGTTCATCACTTGGAGATCTGGGGCACATGTTAGTTTGGGGAGGTGTTGGCACACGAATGGATGCAAATGTTGAAGATCTTATGATCAAATGGTGTACTAGATTTAAGAATCAAAGAACATCATCTTCTTGAGGTTATGATGAATTTTTATTTGACCAAGGATTAGATTTTGTTGAAGGGCTAAGAAATGGCTTCTTTTTTCTTTTTTTTTGAGTCTCAATAGCATTCAATCTAGACACGAAAAAACAGTTCGAAAAATGAAGTGTTCATCTTTAAACATATGAGAGTAGAATTATGACATTTTGAATAAAAGTATTCTTATGAATTTTAACTTCCCCTTATCTAGTCCATGTTTTTTTATTGAGCATGATTATAGGGATTGAGAAGGTTATTTAGGGATTTAGCTATAATTGAGAAATTATTCCCTTTATTAATTATTTTTGTCCTAGATTAATTTATTTCCAGTATATGGATGTAATATATACACCATTGTATTGCATATTCAATCAATAAGAAATTTCTTCATTCCATATGAAATTTAACATGGTATCAGTTCCTAAACAAACTATCCATTGATTTGCGTTTCCGACGAGCGGCAGTGCAACTTTTTTTTCTTTTCAAAATTTACTTTTCAAAATCTATGCTACGATCCTACCTAATGGCCTTGGTCTAATTCGGCCGGCCACTTGTCCGACTCCTACGATCTGAAATAGTCTCCCATTCTCTTCCTAAATATTTCTGCTTCAATCTACAAAACCAAAATTGAGAATTCAACAAATAAAATGCGCAAAAGGCTCAATCCAAAATCCAACCAATTTATTTTTTGATTATTCTGATTTCAAGCCCAGAATACCCCTCAAATTTCACCATTCACCATTTATCATTTACCTCCAAAAGTTCCAAGAAACTCAGTAACCCACTTTCAGTTTTGTTTGTTCGTCACAGCCCTCGGATTCGTCGTCCAACGAAACTTTGTCCTTTTCATCGATGCTTCTTGCAATACCCAAAAAAAAATTACCCCAAAATAAACTTATTGGGAACAAATTCACAGCAAACTGTTGATAGCTTCAACTATTAGAAGGCAAGGCAAACCATCTCACAAAAGCGTTGGTTGAAATTGGAGAAGGAATGGACGGTGGTTCAAATTGCTCACCCGCCAGAGCTCGTTTAAAAAAAAAAAAAAAAACTGGCGCCGACCTGAATGGGTTATTCACGTCTACCGTCTGCCTAGGTGATTCTTTTAGGTTTGGGAAGAGTTTGAAACAGTTTTTGTCCTAATTGGGTTTCTTTGTAGTTTGGTGGATTGCTGGGTTATTGGTTATTGGGTCGGTTAATTGATGTTTAGGCCTGGTAATGGACTAGTTTGATATAATTTTGGGCCATGGTGATTTGTCAGTAATTCAGCTATTGGGTCGGTGATTGATTTAATTGGGTCATGAAAATTTCCTCAAAAATTGGACTACTAATTGGGTTGCTGCAGTAATTTTCCTGGGATGCTGAAATTATTTTTGACTTGGGCTACTGAAATTTTTAGCCCATGCCAAAATGGGTCCGCTCTAATTTTTAATTTTTTTAAAGTTGTTTTTTTCCAAAAAAACAAAAAAATAAAATTGGAGGGTCGGTCCTTGATTCTTACCGGCTCTCCCCTTGCCCCCTTTCAAAATTCGGGGTTTTCTTTAAAACAAAAATTTGGAAGGTCGGTATTCTGAATTTTACCAACTCTCCCATGTCCTTTAAACAAATTAGGGATTTTTTTTAACTTTGCCCCTTAAACAAATTAGGGGTTTTCAAAAATAAAATTTTGAAGGGTCGGTACCCTGAATTTTACCTCCTCTCCCGTGCCCCTTAAACAAATTAGGGGTTTTCTGCCTCTTAAACAAACTAGAGGTTTTTTTAAAACAAAATTTTGGAGGTCGGTACCTTGATTTTTATCGACTCTCCCGTGCCCCTTAAACAACCTAGGGGTTTTTTCTTATTAAAAAAAAAAGAATTTCGACATTCTACATCAATTTGGAGGTTATTTTCATCAATTCACAAGTTGGGCATTACAGATCTTCATGCTCCAACTTGAGGGGGAGTATTGAGCATGATTATAGGGATTGAGAAGGTTATTTAGGGATTTAGCTATAACTGAGAAATTATTCCCTTTATCAATTATTTATGCCAAGATTAATTTATTTCCATGAATAGCAGGATATGGATGTAATATATGCACCATTGTATTGCATATTCAATCAATAAGAAATTTCTTCATTCCATATGAAATTTAACATTTTTTATGTAAGAAAGTGAGATTTTAACATCAACATTTGAATAAATTTGTAAACATAAATCAAAGGGAAGTAATAAACCTTCAAATGGTAAAGGTCAGTGTCATTGATGGCTAGCAGCTCAGTTTTTTTGCAACCAGAATCATATCCATGTCTAATTGCCACTGCTCCAATGAACAGTCCAATACCAAATATTGATTTCTCCATTCCCAGCATCTCTCTTTGCAGTCTAATTGAATCCAAATGCAGAATTTTGCCGCCATACCAAACCCTAATCACTCCTTCAGCTCTACCCAATTCCCTTCGAGTTTGCAAGCTTTTGGCTGTGATTCTGAAAAAAGGCCCGAATGTTTGAAGCTGAAGATCGAGATTTTGTCTTCTCGATGACTCCATGATATCGGACATGGTTGGGATTGAGGCTTCGACATTCTTCATTTTCTCAACTGGGACTTTGATTTGAGGAATTTTTTGGGTGGATTTCAACTGAAGTTTTGGTGTAATTGGAATGGATGAAGCTGAATGTATAGCATTTGCTATACATCATGCTTCACAGCCCCCTCACAATGAGGGGCCTCACTTCAATTTTTTTTAATGTGCGTGGGTCTCCTCCGATGTGAGGGGGCTGTACATGTACAATCCGATTAGGACTGTACATGCAGCACGGTCCAATTGGAATGGGTATTTGAATTGGGGAGAATTTGTTTATGAGAAATGATGAAAATTGTATTCTGATTGGAGTCCATTGATGAGGAAAATTATTGAAAATGACCCCCTAACCCATGTGTATTTCCAAAGTAACCTTTGACCGGTTTTTAGAAGAAAAAACGAAAATTGATTTTAAAGGTCAAAATCCCAAAATACCCTCAGGCGGTCACTTTCCCATTTGCTTACAGTCGACCAAAATCAAGGAAAAGTTACGGTCGGTTCCAGTCGGTCAGAGACGTTTTCAGTTTATCTCCGGCGACCTTCTTCTTGTCAAGATAAACCTCGAGTTGTTAATTAACTAGATTAATGTTTAGATTTTCATATTGTGTGTGAATGTTGAATTTGTGGAGGTTTTTGGAATGTATTATTGGTTATGTAGGTGTAGAAGTATGAACATATGGTCTAAATTAGAGAATAATAGGTGGATTTTGAGATTTGTAAGCTTTTCTCGTCGGAAATAGAGATTTTCCAGTTAGAAAAGCCGATAAAACTACCGACTACAAACGCAACCGGCATTTGGGAAAAATCCGACCGTTAACAGTCGGGTTAATAGTAGATCTGTTAACAGCCGATCTGGCCCAATTGTCAACAGTCAGCCCATGACTGTTTTTTGTTTTTTCATGGGCTGACTGTTGACCGTTAAGTCGGCCCATTATTTGGGCCGACTGTTTGATTGTTAACGATTTTAATTATTAGTTTTTAATAAATAATAATTTATTTAGTTGTCAAATTTAAATAAAATTTTTAATTTGAATATTTACTTTTATTTCCCCTTTTTTTATAAATAATAATTTTTCGTTCATCGAATTTAATTAATTTTTATAATTGTAATATTTAATAATTCTTTTAATTTTAATTTTAAATTTAAATTTCATATTTAGTTTTTTATAAATAATATTCTTTTCGTTAACCGAATTTAATTACTTTTTGTCATTGTAATTTTAAATAATTCTTTTAATTTTAATTTGAATATTTAGTTTTATTTCCTCATTTTTTTATAAATAATAATTAAATTCATTCGTCGAATATAATTAATTTTTGTAATTGTAATTTTAAATAATTCTTTAAATTTTAAATTTAAATTTCGTTTTTATTTTTATTAATAGTTTTTATAAATAATATTCTTTTCATTAATCGAATTTCATTAATTTTTGTCACTGTAATTTTGAATAATTATTTAATTTTAAATTTCATATTTATTTTTATTAATTATTTTTTAGAAATAATATTCTTTTCGTTCATCGAATTTAATTAGTTTTTGTAATTGTAATTTTTAATAATTATTTAATTCTAAATTTAAATTTCATTTTTAATTTTATTAATTTTTTTATAAATAATATTCTTTTCGTTCATCGAATTTAATTAATTTTTATAATTGTAATATTTAATAATTCTTTTAATTTTAAATTTAAATGATATCAAATCTTTCTTCCTGTCTTTCTTTTTTTCTTTTTGAAGGCCTAATTCTCATGAGTTTGTCATTTTGAAGTAGTGGACTACTCTTTATCATGAACTCTACAAATGCGCTTCTCCTGTACTGTTTTTTCTTATTTATTCAGGTTCGTAAATTTTTTTATGCGTTTTGGTATTATTTTCAAGACAGAAGATTCATCGCGTGTTTTATTTTCTGTTATTTTGTTGCTTGAAAGGCCAAAATCCTTGAAGTTGGATAAAATTAACGAGAAGTAGAGATATTTTGGTGTATATATCGACAAACTTGTTGTTATATGACCGAGTTTACCAATTTTTGTGTACACGATCTACAGGTCTACAAGCATATTCGTTGCATTATGATCACACATACACTGCTGAGGCAAGCTCCCATTTGGATCAAATTTCACTTAAGCATAAAATAATCTGCTTACTCTTGGATTAATTTGAGGTAAAAATAAATTATTTCAGTGTTTGGCAAAGCCAATGGAACCTCAGTATTCTGGAGGCATGGTTTTAAATCCAGAACTGGAACATGGACTCAATGGTTGGACAACCTTTGGAGATGTAAAATTAGAACATCAAGAAGCGGAGGATGGAAGCAAATACATTGTTGCTTCAGACAGAAGTGGACACCAGGGCAGTTTTTCACAGAAGTTTCACTTGGAAGATATGACCGAGTTTACCAATTTTTGTGTACACGATCTACAGGTCTACAAGCATATTCGTTGCATTATGATCACACATACACTGCTGAGGCAAGCTCCCATTTGGATCAAATTTCACTTAAGCATAAAATAATCTGCTTACTCTTGGATTAATTTGAGGTAAAAATAAATTATTTCAGTGTTTGGCAAAGCCAATGGAACCTCAGTATTCTGGAGGCATGGTTTTAAATCCAGAACTGGAACATGGACTCAATGGTTGGACAACCTTTGGAGATGTAAAATTAGAACATCAAGAAGCGGAGGATGGAAGCAAATACATTGTTGCTTCAGATAGAAGTGGACACAGGACAGTTTTTCACACAAGTTTCACTTGGAAGAGGAAAAACTCTGTCTTATCTGGTATAAATTCTTCTAAAAAGAACAAAATGTGACATTGATTCTTTACCTTATTATTGAAAGAAAAGTGAATACAAATTATTACTTATTTTGGGTGCGTATCTGGTTCTTTTGCAGCTTGGTTACGGGTAAGCCATGGAAAGGCTCACATTGCTGTAATATTCAAGACAAAAAATGGGGACCGGCCTGCTGGATGGGTCATGGCTCAACAGGGCTGCTAGTCGATGCTCAAGGGTGGCATAGTTTTTGATACTTCCAGTCCGGTTGAACTCTTTTTCCAGGTACAAAAAATTTTCCATTTTCTGATTCTGCAAGGCTGTGATTCTCTCGGAAAATGCCAGCTTGAACCATTTGACACCCCTAGTTTTAAGATATTTCCTTTCTTGTTGGGATTATTTTTTTTTGGGATTCTCGTGATTCAAGTTATGGTTTTCTCCCATTTTAGGCCAATGATACTGCAGTCGAGATATGGGCAGATAGCATTTCATTGCAACCAGTTACTCAAGAGGAATGGGATTCCCATCAAGATCAAAGCATTGAGAAGATGGCATTATATTCAAATTCTAGCAACTTTATATCTAACTATAGTATGATTTTCTTCTCCCCATTTATTATAAATCGACTATACCTAACGTATGACATAATTACAGATAAGAAAGCATCGAGTGAAATCTCAAGTTGTTGATTCTCAAGGCCTACCATTAGAAAATGCAAAAATCTCTGTGAAACAGATACAACAAACATTTCCATTTGGCAATGCAGTTAGTAAGTTCATTTTAGAGAACAAGGCCTATCAAGAATGGTTTCTGTCCGGGTTCAAGTACACGGTATTTGAGAACGAAATGAAGTGGTACTCGACTGAGAAAGGTCCGGGGAAAGTAAACTATTCCGAGTCTGATACCATGCCAAAATTTGCGAAGGAGAACAACATCTTGGTACGAGGTCACAATGTATTATGGGACGATCCTAGGTATCAACCTTCATGGGTAAAAAGGCTTCCAAGAAAAGATCTACCATTAGCCACTGAAAAAAGAATGAAATCTATAATGAAACACTACTCA